TTAGACAATGTTATCATTTCATTCGGTACAATGCTTTTTCTCTAAATGCAAATATACTACAGAAGCTATTGATCAATCTGCTTTATTTGTTGAGAACAATTTGTACAGAACGCAATTCAATACTGTCATTAAAACTCTAAAAACTTTCCTCATACAACTAGTGAGTAAGATTATTGAATATTACCGTAGGCTCTGGGTCTAAGGCAGCTCCAGACACTGCCCATCACATGCCTTTCTAATGGCTGTGATATGTGAGTGGGACCCAGCAGCACTCTGCACACTGCTCCTCATTGATGAAGACTGAGGGTTTTCCTCCTACAGCCAGGTGGTCTACCCTTGACATTTTTCATCTGTCTAAACCAGAATGTGTGGGGTAACAAGTTGGAAACAAGGCAAAAATGAACAAAATTATGCTTTTCTTATTCCAAAGTTTGTGTTGTCCAAAACTAGCATGGGTGTACGGTAACCAGGACAGATGAAGTGGTTTGGAACAGTGGTCCGAGCTGCCAATAGGAGACTGCTGTTCTTCCATTAACACAGTACAGTAAGATGTCTGCCCTCAGTGTTAGTCAAAAGCACCATTGTACTTCACAATTAAGGAGTTTGTTCTTGGGTTCATTTATCTGGGCAAGCAGCATTCAGGATTCATGGTCTTATGCAACATGGCACATTCCAGCCATTATGCTGCAGTCTCTCCTCTGCAGGCTTACACTGTGGGCGACCTGCAGCTCCTCGTGCCTCTGGGCTCCTTCAATTAAAACTTTTCCAACTGTGGAAATATGCAGTTACAGTACTTGGAATACAAGTGCTTAAATGACTTTTGGAATATTATAATTCACATATTACTATTTGAAAGTTGGATAAAGGACCGAACAATATAATCTAAAACTTACAATATGAAACTAATATATAATAAACTTGGGACACACAGATTGAGATAAATAAAGCCTTTATTTGTTATAATGTTGATAATTGGTTCATTCAAAAAAACTTTGAATAAAACTCAGAAAATGTGAATATTTTGAAAATGGACTGTAAGCCATTATCATCAAAAATATAATAAACAAGGGCTCGGCTTATGTCACTTAAGTTGAAGTACAGACAAAAAAAGAACTTTTGAACAATATTCTCTGTTTCTAAGTTTCACATCTGTCACTCATACTGGTTCTGTGACATCAGCGTATTGTTATGAAAACCCAGAAAACTGGGAGTTTTCACATTTTTTTGTTCAAGATTGTATCTCTTAACACACAAGAACACTCAACAATTAAATCTAATTAGCAGTGAGCCAATTACCTGGATTCTTATCAATCCTGTAAAAATGGGAAGGAGACTAACATTCCTGGTGTGATTAAGATGGAAGACAGGATAATTGGCAAATATCCACAGGTTGTGACACAAATTGTTTAACACTAGTGGGTCAGCAGCTGCCATTAACCAAAAATGTTATCTATGATGTGCATCAGAGATATGAAGCAGACTGTGTTTATTCAACTTTTATCTCTGGATTTGTCAACAGAGGTGAGAGGAGATCTTCAAACAGATGACCCCACATGACAGCTCTGAGAGGCGGGGGGAGGGCCATGCGAGCAGACACATAAAATAAAAACAATAAGAAAAGTGTTGTTATATTTTTTGTATCCCCCAAAAAAGCAGGAAAGGGGAAATATATAAATTATTTGATTGTTTTTCAGCCATATTTAGAATAAATCAGTAAAATAAGCTTGCAGTTGAACCTACGTAGAGGAAAGAAAATGTGACCGGGCTGAGGTTATACTTGCGTTCCACAGTCGATGAAACATCAGCTTACACTACACATTGCAATTGTGTAAATTCTAGCATGGTGGTAGCAAATCAGAACCACTTAACAAGAGAAGCCTGTTGAAGCATTTCAGCTCATAAGAAAAAACGTCAAAAGGAAAAAAAAGCTTTACATCACTCAGTGGCCTTTAATGGAAACTTGCCAGATGTTACACAGGGAGAGAGAGCAACCAACAATGGCTTCCACCTCAGTTTGGGCATCCTTTCTCCTGTCTGTCTATTCCCATTGGCGCCCATGACTGTGATGTGGTCAAAAGCGCTCCTTTACAAAGACTAGGGGGAAGCTGGAGGGAGGTGTTGCGAATGAGAAATTGTCAGTGATTAAATGTACTGTGTGAACCCTGGCTGCAACATGGCGGACTGGAAATTGACTCAAGTAAGAGATATGCCGGTGTACTGAAGAATTTGTGTGCATAGGGCCAAAGGCAAACAGTTGTCAGCACATCCCATCACTGCTGCTGCCCAATCTGACATCCATCTCGGGGTTTAGCAGTATCTGACTATCTGGTCACTTCAACATCATTGCAATACATTTTAGCAACTGTGTGCAATAGTCAACACTGTCCAAACTCTTCCTGCGCAATTTCCCGGTTCAGGCCAAGACTGAGGGCAACAATCCCTTGTACAAAGAATTTATTAGACTCTAAAAGTGGCCATGTTGTGTAAGTACCATACAAACACTATTCAGTTTGTTTGAGGGATTACAGGTCTTATCCAGGCAGCGGTCTCTCTAACCCCAAGTGTTAGCAAACAAGCAGGTCAAAAGGACATATTACCCAACAAGGACTGACATAGTAAATTGGAATGAGATATTTTGATTTATGTTTGTGCGATTTTCTTTGAAAATAATGCATAAAGAACAAAATAAAGAAAAAAGGCATTTAATGTTTTCCTTTTAAAGAGGTGGGGAGCTGAGATCCCTTGTGGGAGGCACCACTCTCTGTGCTCCACTCATTTGGACAGTTCTGCAGTTAATCCCTATTGTGGCGATGTAAAGCTCAGAGGTGAATGCATGTGTGTGGCAAAGGGGCAAAGCTTAACAAAAGATTGCATAGATTGAGCCATAGAATGACCACAAATACAGTACACACTTTTCCCAGATATTTGTTCCAAGTTATTCCAAAATTATATACAAGACATTGTGATTCCGTAGATAGAGAACCAAGCCCATAATATGTTTAATTATGAAACTTCTTGAGTGGTCGTGGACGTATACAGCTGTTCGTGGGTGTTTAGCGCATCGCTGCATCCACACTCAAGTCTTTTCACTCTATTCAAACAATGCTAAACCTTTGGCTCTGACAATACACGTTGGGCCTAATCTTACTCATCGGAGCCAATCAGAATGCAAGAAAGAGTAAAATGCAATTGTTTGGCCAATGGCCACAGAGGCCAGTTTGGGGGACGAGGACAAGAGCAGACAACCATTGTTGATTGATGACCATGAAAGACACTTTTGTTGGGATCTTGAAGGCAGTACACTGCGCCTGTATCCGAGGAAACACTAGTATCTAAAATAGGTCAGCTCTACAGCAGCATACACATGATACTCACGGTGAGGTGTGCGAGAGTGACCGCCCAGCAGGGGAGTAAGGTCCACCGCATATTAGCTGTGACTAAAATTGATTAGCTTTAGTACAAAGGTTAGAAAAGCAGCTACCGCCTGTGAGTAAGACATGGGCAGGTTTGAAAATAGACATTATGAAACATCTTTTGAGACTATTTGAAGTAAACTACAGTCCGCAGTCAAAATATCCATATGAAAAATATGTTCAGAGTCTGAATATTCTCAAGGTCAAAAAGTATGAGTAAAATGTTTATTTTGGATGGTATACAATAAAAAAAGTATTATATAAAGGATGGGTAGGAAATGAGGCTATTGACCAAGAAGTTTTTTTCTGTGTGCCACGTCTGGCCTCCTTAAACTATGACCAGAGAAGATTTTATTGTTTTACCCAATATAAAAAAGACTTTTGGCCACACTGAAACACGTTTTATTGACATTCAGAAATGTTATCCTCTATGCTACAGGCAAAGAACAATAGTATGTCTTATGCACATTCAATACCTCCAGCTGTTTGAAAAACACACACACTGCTAGCCCACTGTTTGTCCTGGCAGATGATAAAAACAATACCAACAGACAAAAGCTCGACTTTTCCCATTGCACTATCCAGCTAGAATTTGACATGCACCCAGCCTTTACACACAGCTTCTACATGCAGGTACAAGATACAAGTCAGTCATTTCAGCATAGTGCGACACATTAATATGGATGTGAGTCCTCTGGTGTATTTGCTGCAGAGGCAAAGTCTCTCTGTGTCTGAGGTGCTGATCGAAGGAGACAGAGGGGCAGCGTGGCTCTATTCACAGCCAGTGCACATTAGCATAAACCACAGAGCTTGGCCTAAGCATCCAACATCCTCTGTATGCAGGCTCTCTGTAGGATCACCTCATTAGCGTGCAAAGTGCTTGGAGTTAAATCACACACAAAAGTTCTCGACAAACACATTCTTGCAAGCAAAAATCAATATGGCACTCAGTAAATGCAAGTACAGGTGCTATTTATAGCAATTTATCACAGTTATCATCAGGTTAATAAAAATACAAACACAACTGCAAAATCCAGCTATAATTTATTCAGTAGATGAAAGGGAAAAGGTGTTCAAGAAAGTTGGGAAAATATCCTCAGTCAACATTTCTGTATTTGGGAGGGGATTACCTTGTGAATAAGGGGCAGTGGGGAGTCTGACCCCTCCTACTGAGCTGGGATTGGCTGGAGTGTCTGTGAGTGAGACCTGGGGAGGCCAGTAAGAAGGTGAGTGGTCCAAGAGCTGCTGTAGGGGGCAGGCAGACACACACGGCTGCATGGACACTGCCTCTTAAAGCCAAGGTGCTCCTCCTCATTAGACTACAGTCTGATCGTCATGCAGAACAGGACAGGTTACACAGCTTAACGTTCTTACTTGACAAGAAATGTTCTAGCATTCATTTAAGTTTAGCATACCTGGTAATCACTTTTAGGTACTGTAGCATCCAAGGGTCAACCAAGCAAAGAGGACTGCTAAAGTATTAAATCTTCCAGGATCAAGAGGGATTACAGCACTGCACACTTTATTTGCACTGTTCATTCAAACATTTTTGGATACAGCCTTTTAGACTATCTGAACTGAAAAGACATGGCTACTGGACAAAAGAGCCACAGGTGGGCTTTGACCTGTGGGTGCTCCTTCAGCTTGGCCCTGGCTCGATCGCTCTTCCTCTCCATCACTCTTCTCCTCCTCAGCGCTTCGGCTGCAGACGAGTATGACTACTACAGCTGGCAGTCAGACAACTTCCACAACGGACGCTTCTACACCAAACAGCCCCAGTGCGTGGACATACCTGCAGACTTGAGGCTGTGTCACAATGTGGGTTACAAGAAGATGAGGCTGCCCAACCTGCTTGACCACGAGACCATGCCAGAGGTGAAGCAGCAGGCAGGCAGCTGGGTACCACTGTTGGCCAAGCGGTGCCATGCAGACACACAAGTCTTCCTCTGCTCCCTCTTTGCGCCTGTGTGCTTGGACAGGCCCATCTACCCATGTCGGTCCCTGTGCGAGGCAGTGAGGAACAGCTGTGCACCGGTCATGGAGACGTACGGCTTCCCCTGGCCTGAGATGCTGAACTGTGACAAGTTTCCGATCGACAATGACCTCTGTATCCCCATGCAGTTTTCAGTGGAGCATGCCACACAGCCACCAGGTACGATGCACATACCGCATTTCTCCAAGGAAAATCAGCATTGAAAAGTTTTTGACGGTTTAAAAAATAGGGATAAAAAGTAAAAAACTTAATAATTTCTCCTCTTGACCCGTTCGTTTAAATTGCAGAAGACCAATAGTTTTCTTGTCGTAGCATTTTACATATTGTTTCAGAGACCTACCAATAAGTTATGAGGCTTCCATGATAAGTTCAAACATTGATCTAGTTCAAAACAGTCTATAAGATACTTATTATAGGTCTACATAAAGAGACTGAGAATATAAGTGAAAAGACATGTCTATGAAGCAGATGAAAAATGCAGCAGTAGCACTAGATTTGAAAGTTATCCTCTGAAAATAGTCCCACATTACAACCACATGCAGCCCGAGGGGAGGACAGACACAAAACATGAGTCGGGAGACCGAACGACTCCGGCAGCTGCAGATCACTTGCACCGTTGAGATAAATGGACTGTTAGGCTGAAGTTATCTGGAAGTGCAAAGCAGACGCACATGTGTGAACACCTCAATCGGAGCGAGTCAGACGAGAGATCATCAATCACCATATAACAAGTGTTCCAATGGGGAGCGCCCTGTTGCAACACGCCACTCAAGCAAGTCAGCGTAGTGAGGAAATAAATGAAGTCGCACAATTAGCAGACAGATGGAGGACGTTTAGGGAGCGAATAGTGCTTTTTGAATGAGCACTTAGGCAGGCGGAGGGGACTTGATGAGCCTATAGACGGCAACAAGGGGACAGTTACTGGAGTGCTGTTATTGTTGGGTCTGGCAGCCGACGGGCCAATTAGCGAGAACACCAATTACAGAGCTTCAGCTAATTAGTCGACGTGACAGAACAAGAGGCACCAAGAGAAAGAGATTGGCTGGAGTGTAGTTGTCTGTGGCAGAATAAAAGAACAGAACCTGTTTCCTGTGAAAGAAGTGTCCGTCTTTTCTTAGGGCTAAGTGCTGTATAATTGCTCTTGTCTCACAATTTAGGCATAATTTACAGCTATTCTCTTGTGTGTTCTTACATAAACTGAAGAAAGAAAAAAGTTGGCAATAAAGAGCATTTAATATCAAATGGGTGATATAAGATCTAATCAAATGAGTTTTAGGTGTAATACATCCTTCAATTCGCTCCATTAGAGAAATAGTTTGCACTGTTGTCACAGGCTTTGTGTCAAGTATGTGACTTTTTGGCTTAAGAAACATAACATGCTAACAGGAGACTCACACTCAATCGCACAAGAAAAACTATGGGACGCTATAAATATCAGTCATTTAGATGTTTTATATAAAGTTGTTTTAGGCAAACCCTATATTGCAGGGATACTTATTGCAGAACATAAGGTTCTAGAGTCATTTAAAGTAAAATCAGTGGGTAAGATTCACATATACTGGGTTACAACCTTATAAACCTCAACAGGTGAGACTATATTTGATGTAGTTAATGACTCTGCATAAAATTTCTCTGAATCATGGGCCTCTGTGTCTTCACAACCAGCCTGATACAATATGGCTGTTGTCCAGTGAAAGTCGTTAAAATTGCTTGGTGTGAAAGATATTGTCTGTCCACACTGATGTGACCAGTGTAAGTTACAACCTTGCCAAGGGAGACGGGCCATGCTGTCAGGTCCTCGGCACAATGGAAGCTACTCATGTGGTTCTGGCCGCTGTATGAAAGGGAAAATGTGATCCAATGCTCTATGCAGAGAAAGCTGCCAAAGCCCTTAGAAAGGGTTTTTCTCTGGTGGATTTATACAGATGCAGGATCTGGCTGTGTCCAAGACCTCAGGGAGGTGTATGGGACCTGTTTAGGTGATTCCTAATCTCTTTGTGCTTCGCATTTAAACAGATGTTAGAACCTCCGTCAGGCATAAATCTCATTATTGCAGAGCTTTAGTCCTCCATGTCAAAGTGACATCATGTGTCTTACTGTTCAGAGTTTAACTAAATACCTATGACTCATATTTGTGGTTAAACCAATGTTTGATCCCAAAAGTTAAAGACAGTTTCATTACACGATATTTTATGGCACTTATCTGGTTCAGCTTAACTTTTATTAAATTTGAATTTAAGGTACCATGTGAGTGACATCAATATTAGAACATTCACTGAAGGGTATAAGAATTTAAGACGTCTGAGGTCAGACCAAACTCCGCTGTTGGATCTTTGCCGTACATCGTTTCCATTTTGGCATCGCATTTGAAGATTAACAGCAGCCCTTTCCAAAAGACCACCTCCCAGCTCCCCGCCGCACTGACAGCATCTCTAGTCATCCCATCACTAGAACAAGTACACTATACTTTGGTCAATGTGTACTACAAAATCATTCAGAAGTATACTCATAAAAACTACTGATTTAAGAGCGCCGGCAAATAGCAAGGGCACACCAGCTCACAATTTGGACAATAAAATGACCAACCACAAAACATTCTAAGTTGCCTGGAGGTTTTGGAAGAATTACATATGATCTAATGTCAAAATATTAGCTGAGCCGAAAAGTGTCCAGGAAAGAAGACATGACCCAGTGGCTCTTATTAGAACATGACGAGGAGTAATCACGCAGAGGAGCATCAAGGCACTCATTGCCTAATTGGTTCTTCAGCCAAACCGTGCAGCTCTGTCCAAACTCAACTCCGTTTTAGAGCGGGCCTGCTTTTCTTGACACGTGCACTGCCCTGGCATGAGCAGGACTGGCCCTGAGCCAACATACCACCACCGCGAAAGCCCAATGAATAACTCCAGAGCCACAGCAAGACACAACAGCTTCAGGAAATCTATCAAAGCATACAAATCCAGTCGAGGTCTGGCAAGATTTTGGCAGCTTTCTGAAGTTTACGCACACAGAAAAATCTTAATGCTTTGATAGACTATAATACATTTGAATCAGTACTAACAACATTTGCATTTACCTTTCAAGAAATATATGGGAAAGTTTAGCACTAGTGCATGGGAACACTGAAGCATTTCTGTGTAGGTCAGGCACTGAAAGGGCGCTGGTCCGGGGTTCACCTCCCCACGACCCCGGCACCAAAACATGCGCAACTTTGACCTGTCTCATTATTTTCTCAGACAAGAGGTCAGGAGACTGCCGATAACATTTAACCCTGCAGGGACTGTATTCTTCTGCTGTTTAAGTCACTCTGTTCACTACTGTGACACAACGTAACTCGCTGTAACATTCAACTGCAGTACATTTGAGCTTGTACATTAACTGCACTCTGCTGTAGGCACAAAGATTCAGATTCAGATTCATTTTATTTGCCATTTGCAGTAAAAAAAAAAAAAAAAAAAAGGAGGCAGCAGCAGCACAATGTAATGAGGTAAATGTTTTCATTGAATAAACATCTACAGTCTTTGGTGAAAGCGTGGCGAGAATAGTTTCCGGGCTTAACTATGGGAGATTATTAGAGAGAGAAATGAAGAGTAATTGTCCATGCATGATTTTGGTTCTGTCAATCTATATGAACCAAATACAATTAACTAAATAAATAAAATTAAATGTATTCTTTTATAGCCCTGAATCACAACAGTAGTTATCTCAGAGGACTTTACACAACTGTTGAATTTGCCAACACAGATCAGAGAATCAAACAGTTAAAACACAAGAAATAAAACAGAAAACACATTGGTATGAGCAGACGGAAGGAGCAGATGAATAATGTCCATAAGTGTTGGTAAATGTCCATTAAAGAAGAGGTGGTCCACGGTGTGCACCCAAAGAGAGCTATACACCAACACAATTAACAATATGAAGTCATCTTTTTGGTGATTCTTTCATTTAATTCTTTCATTTAGACAACCCATGATTCTCCCAGAGTGGGTAATTTGCTGTCCTGTGTGCACTGTTTTGCTTTGTTATGTTGAGAATTAATAAAAACGTGTGTCGATACGTTCGTTAAAAGCCAAAAGTCTTTAAATTGTGGTTCAGGTTGGCTCCCTCGCTGAAGTTAATCACTTTACACAGTGGCTCTCTTCAGCGTTTACCTTTCCGCAGAGCCATGACCATGCCTGCTCCAACAAAATATACAACAGCCAGAATTAAAACATTTTCTACAGTGTAATTGCAGGGAAAACATCAGTTTGTCTGCTGGTCTACATATCCAGTCTACTGCAAATAGACTTTGACATGATGAGGGGGAGTCAAACACTGTATATGAAAAAGCCCATGTTAAGTGTTGTTGTATCATATGAATCTGAAATGTAATACATCCATCTGTACTAATGACGCTTTCCTTCCCCAGTGTCCAAGGTTTGTCCTCCATGTGATAATGAGATGAAGGCGGACAACATCATGGAGCATTATTGCGCCAGTGACTTTGGTAAGTGCAGTAATTTTAACAAATTCTTGTCAATTATTTCAACCAAGCTCCAGTAGTTAGCATCAGGATTTTCACTTAACTCTATAAGCTTCATAAAAACTGTCTCATCAATGATTCATAACAGCAGTATTTATCTGGATCAGCTATCAAACCAAACGTTGTGAATTCTTTATGCTCATTACAATGAAACATGAACATGTAACTGGAGTGGACAGTTTAGAGACCTTGAATGAAAATCACAGAGTCAAGATAACTCTGACGAATGGTTTTGGAGATCAAGGCAAGAATGTGCCTATTGTCCACAGTAACACTTTACTCGCCTCTCATCTGTCTTGGGATAATTTGACACAAAAACCATGGTCAATGTCGCATTTGGTTACACTTTGGTCTCTTAAAGGAGACATCAGGCAAAATGTCTCCACTGTGAGACGAATATGGGATCTCTTAATCTTAACATAAAAAATCTTACCTCTTCTTTGTTTAACTATGGTACAACATTGTTTCCTAATCAATAACTGACCTGGAGTAGGTTTTAGATCCAGCCATGTTAATGTCAATGACTTCTAAAAGTTCTGTAATAGTATGTGTCATTGTCATTTTTCCACTATGACATCACCCTCATCATAAAACAGTTGCTCATAAATTAGTTTTGGTAATTTCTCAAGCAAAAGGATGGTGTTTGCATTCACATGTCTGAGTTTGCAACCAGTATTTTTCAAATTTGGAAAAAAGAAAAACAATTTCCACACTTCCCTCTGGTGATAGTACAGGGACAGGACAAGCCAACAGCATTATTCACTCTTCATACTTGTTTCACCATACAATTTAGACTGAAGATATTATTTTACATTCTAAAACATGAAGTTACAGTAAATATATATAAAAAAACTGTCATTTTTACTAGCAAAAAATAATGCATAATAAGTCTCTGTGATGCCGTCTCACAGTGTGGCCTTAACATTCATTCCTGAAACCTTTTTGATGAAGTTTTCTATGTCTAATCTGCTGATCTCACATCCATATGAGAAAACAGGTTTGCATAAAGTCTTTGGCAGGCTTGTCACAGGGACACTGGCCAGACTGCACAGTGGGCCCCTGGGCAGCTCTTGTGACTGCATATGATTGAGTATGGGTGGGCCCTCAGAGTCCAGCAGGTGGGGGGCAGGTGGAGCAGGCAGACATTTTATCCTTCCTATCTCTGCTCAAACACACTCATATGAATACACTCTTTCACACAAACACACGAGCCGGCACGCACATGCAGTAAATATACACAGGAGTAATTGGATGTGATGTAGGTTATGGGTGGGGGGCAGTTCAGAACATTCTTTCTGCAACACTGAAGCAGAGGGGAAATATTGGCTTGATGTGTTGTGCTCATAAATGAATACTGATACTATATCTAGCTACTATTATTACTACTACTTTTTACTGCTTCTATTGTGATTGTTTGAAGCACGTTCTTGTAAAACGGACTTCTTCACATATGTGTGGAAGTAGATTTGTAGGCTGTAATGTGTCTGCCACGTATTCAGCAGATCCAGCTCATTTTAAACACATGCTTAAGTCTGTCGCTGGCATTGCTACACCTCTTTAAGTAATACAGTATTTAAGCCACACAAATGAATCAACTAACTCTCTGCTACTAGCAATCATGTTCCAACCAACCCACACTGCAAATATTACTACACTTTGCTAAAGAAAGAAAATATCATTAATCATTTAAAAGGGACACATTTATTAGTGTAAAGACCATTTTTTGTAATAATTAACTTGAACTTGTTCATTGATCTAAAAACCCTGAGTAAATGTATATCGTCAGACCTATAGCTGTCAAGATAAGACATTTTGAAGTACCAATCAATGCTGGTGCGATAGTCCTAAAGAATGTAAAACCTTGAAAACTCTTTTTCTGATAATAAACCCAATAACATAACATGAGCTCACACAGTGCAGTACGATCATTGAAACTGGATTCAAGAAACTATGCAGCAAGTCTGCTACTTTGGTGCGTAAAGGGTTAATAGTAACATTATTGATCAGATTTTTATGAAATGAATTAAACAGTAACAGGTCAATTAAGTGCAAACAAACCACAAACCACAACCCACTAAAACTTGTACTTGTTTTTTTTTTTTTAATGTGTCTTTTTGTTTTTCTTGTTGTTATATGTCTTTTAATATGGACCTTTTATTCTTGTGTCCGAAATAAAGTATTGAATGAATGAATGACCTCAGGGCGAGCAGAGCACCTACGTTTCAAACCTCAAAACATGCAACTATGTAATGAAAATGTATCTCACTAGCTCTCGCTCTCAAACTAGTTCGATCACTAGTGTTTGCATGTATAAATTTTTTTGTCTTTTCCGTAGATGAACTTTTTCAAACAAAAAAGACAAAAAGATCTAACCACTTTTGCTCAGAGAACCAACTCATAGCCCATTTTGATTCACAGAGCTCGTTGCAACATGTACGCCAAAAAAAACATAATTTCTAATAAAAGGAAGACAGCCTGTTGTAGTCTGATCTCTCTATTGGGTAAGACAAACTGTAGTGATTATGTAAAAAATAAGTTCAAGTCCAGATTTTTTGCTGCACGCTGGATGTGACCAAAAGGTAAAAGTAATTATTGTAACAGGCCTATCCACGCCCTCAAGCATGCTTCAGTGTACCTGGCTGTGTTTATGCAGCGCAGGGGAGCAGACGCGAGGGGAAATGGCCATCTTCCAGCGGCCCGGCTTGAGCAATGCCTCACACCAGCTCTGTGCGTCTGCCGGCGGTATGATTAATCTAACCTGTCAAAATGTTCACCCGGAGAATTCCTCTCTTAAGAGCTGGCATCTCCTCTGTGATCCCTGGCATGTAAAAGTATGAATATGTAAACCGAACACTCAACAGGAGATAGTCAGTACCTCGGTTGTGTGATAAAAGCTGAGATAGCGATATAAGCAAACCCCACATATTAAGCTCAAAGTAATGTGGAAGAAGTTGCGTGTAATCCAACAGAGAAGGAACAGATGTTAATAGGTCATTGTGCAATGTGCAAAGATTAACAATTATAGAATATGATGCATGCACTGTGAAGGATATTGCTGGGTTTCAGATGACTTCGCACCAGTCTGTCCGTGGGTTTCGGAATGATGAAACATTGGTATACCAGTAGACTATATACAGTAGAGACGATGCTGTCTAGTGCAATGGCTAGGGCTTGTGCTTCACAGCAAGAAGGTCCTGGATTTGATTCCAGATCCAGGCCTTTCCGTGTGGACTTCTCCCTATATCTGCGAGTTGGAATTAAAACCTGCAGCCACACCGGCCCTTTGAGGACCAAAGCCCAAAAAGGAAATTGGGCTTTGGAGGGAGTTTTGCTCCAACTTGTCCTGGCTCCATTTGACTTACATTGTAAAGTGATGCCCTCGAGCTCAGTTTGTGTCACAATCACCATTTTGGGCTTTAAAAATCTGTGGTTTAGCACTCACTATGGACCAATGGTTTTTTATTGTGATAGTGTTTTTGCAAATCCAGATATGAGCCGTATAAGTAATGGCCAATCAGACTCCTTCATTTGCCTTAGCAACATATTAATTTTCATCTGGCTCAAAGCTAACCCTGTCAGAACAAATGTCCATAAAAGGAAATTTAAATGGCCATTTATGTTCCAATTTATGCTCTGACTCCGCTTTTGAACGTAAGCTAAAATCAGCTTATTGTGCATTCAGCAAACACTTTAGGTGACATCAGCATCTCCATAGTGACTAGTTACAATCAAAAAAAGCTAAAACCTTTAAATACTCATATACTCTCTATTGGCACAAAGTTAAGGACAATTTATGAAGGGGAATTATTACTATTTTTCCGTGAACATTTTGAATGCTTTTAGTAACTAACTTGTCATGTGTACTTTTCCTCAGTGCTAAAGATGAAGGTCAAGGAGGTGAAGAAAGAGAAAGGGGACAAGAAGCTAATAGCTGCTCAGAAGAAGAAGAAGGTCTTGAAGCAGGGGTCTTTGAGAAAGAAGGACCTGAAGAAACTCACGCTGTACATAAAAAATGGAGCTAACTGCCCCTGCTCGCAGCTCGACAGCCTGGGATCAAACTTCCTCATCATGGGACGCAAGGTGGACCAGCAGCTCCTCGTCATGTCCATTCACAAGTGGGACAAGAAAAGCAAAGAGCTCAAGTTTGCCATCAAGTACATGAAGTCTCACCAGTGCCCCACCTATCACACTGTGTTCCAATGAGGGAGCTCCTATCTTCAAAACACTTGGTCTCATAAAACACTCTAGCATACCAGCCTGCTGCACAGTGACTCAGCTTATACATCCATGTTCCCCGAATGGTGATCATTTGAAATATATCAATGCAGTTGTATACATAGAAGCAAGAGATTTCCATTAAGGGCATGAATTTGCTTAATTTCACTCCTAAATACATTGGTTCAATCCAAGTTTCATAATGTACAAAAGTGTAATGAACAGTAGGCAAAACAAAAAACACTAGATTTGTAGATCAGGACTTTTTCATGTTTCTTTTTATGTTTTAAAAGGAAAGGAGATCAATGGGACCAGAAAGTATGGACTAACGGGCATTTCCACTGACTTTGTTTGGCACAGTGATGGGACTTGAAACTTTTTTGCTTCAAGGAGGTTAAAGAGGCAGAGACTCTATACATGTTGTTTATTTTTTACTTTTGTCATCATATTATTGGTATGAAATGTAAATCTTACATAATGATACATAGTAACGGAATTTACACTAGCAATAAGCAAATACTTTACAATCAGTTAAACAATAGGATTCCTTTTGTAATATTTTTTTTTCAGAAAATGAATAAATATATTTGGATTTTTCTAATGAATATTTACTTGAGATGTGCATTTGTGTGTGTATTATATGAAACCATAAGCACATTTCGCTTAAGGCTCTTATGGCAAACTTTGGGATGGTCTTGAAACATCTCGAGTTTCGTACCTGGAGGGCCGATGAATGGGGCCAATGAGGAGGTGCCAAAGCTGCAGTTTCTGGGATCTCCCTGCTGTGAGTGTGTGGGTGGGTACAGCGCTCAGGCCTGGAACACACACAGGTAAACACTGTTAAATGTTTATGAAAGTATTGTCGTTCAAGCATTTTACTGATGATTTCTCTTATAACATAAACTGAAGCAGTTACAGATAGCAGAAGTATGAAGTTACAGCGCCAAGAACAATATTTTAATATTTAAAGTAAAAGAGTAAACTTTCTGACATGCTGGTATGATTATTATCCATGCCTTTATCGATACCTGATCCATCAACATTTATTGATCACTCATGTAGTCTTTAAGTCTCTCAAACAGTCTCTGGAGGTTATTATTTGTTTGGAGTGCAACAAACATAAATAGTAGTGAAACAAAGCAGTTTATACTGACGTGCAAGTTGAGTTTCTTTTTGAGTTTCTCAGACATTCACAAAATAACAAAACATGTATTTCTGCAAATGGTTCTCACAAAACATGTAGCACTCAAGTGACTTTGGACAGTGTTCTCCAACAGATCATATTAATACTTCTTAGAAACCTTATGGTAAAACTCAAATAATGAATGAAGGAAATAAACTGACAACAAAGGTCTTCGAGTTTTACACAGAGCCGACAGAATGTCTTCCTGACAAACATGATCAAACCCACCCAGAATGTAACAACTGCAAACACAGAAGTTTAAGCAGATTTAATAAAGAGATTTGACGTCTTTGTACTTAACAGTGAGAGATAGATTGAATGTGACAGTATATTATTTTAGCTGTCCTACGCCCAAAATTTTCTTGGAATGTCTAGACTTTGTTTCAAGCATGAGGCCAGTGAAACAGCAATTCTCTTCCAGCTGATTTTACTGATAGTGAGTGCTATAGGAATGGCTTTAGAATCATGATCATTAGTGAGATCCTGTCAGACATGAGTGCCTTAAGCTCAGATTAAAGAGCATATGGTTTTCCAGCTATGTGTGTGATCCAAATCCAGTTATGAATGTTTTCTATAAGAGCCTTTCGAAAGAAAATGTCCATGATGGACCACTAGGAGGAGACAGCCGGTGCAAGGCTGGTGCAGAAAGACAAAAAGGTGAAAGAAGGGGAGAGGGAGGAGACAGTTGGCTTTGACCCTACATATACTCATCAACGCCTGGATAAAGGTCACTTGGTGGAGTTAATAAGGGCCTGATGAGGGACCACTGACACACAGAACACACACACTGCTCAAAGGCACACTGGGAAAACACTTGCATGGAATCACGTTTGCTCATTCTACTCCTGAAGGACGAACATCAAACAGCCTTCGTTATGCAGCCGCAGGATTCTGTGCCCTCTGCTCGAACACAGCGCCCTGAACCAGCATCAGATAAGTAGTACAAGCATCAGATAAAACATCAATTCTCTCCAACAAATCTACCCAGTTCAGTTCATTAAAATCAATACATTTCAGAGTGAAAAGACTTCATATTTTGACTCATACAGTAAGGTCCATTGTATTTTTTCCACAGACGACACAGGGCTCCTTTATATAACATACATGAGAGTGGGATGAATCAGTGTTATTTCATGAGCGAATTGGAATAATGTGATCACATCGTGCGTGCACATGCATACTCTCATCCACATAAGTTAGTTAACTATATTTGACTGAACAGCCCCCACAGAAAGAGACCATTATACCGTATTTAGGGTGAGCCAAAAAATGTTGATTAGCTCTACCATGACACACACGCCATTGAATAAGGTTATGCACCAGCGGGCACCGGACTACAAGAGGGGAGGACCCTGACGTGTGTTTTACAAGTCAGAAAGACGTGCTTTGTTGTTGTTGTCGTAGTCTTTATTTTGAATTATTAATCATACAATTAATTTGAAAAAAAGAGTGGGTAGAAGTAAAACTTACTTAATGAAAGAAAGATATTCATTCTCCATGTAAGACATAGATTTTGAATACTGTAGTTGTGTTAAAACAAAGACAATGAGACACATGCTCCCCTGCCAAAATCATTCATCATGTTAATCTGCACAAAATTAACTAAAGCAAAGTCTAAAGCATCCCACAACAACTGTGCCTTCATTAAAACGTGTGAATCCATGTTACAACAGTGTTTCTTCTTCATAAATGGACATGTTTTAGGTCCATCCACACAAAGCCTAAGTCCTGTAGGATGTCATTGTACCACTACGCTGACATCAACTCCGCACACTTTCTGCCCATTAAAATAAAGTTTAAAATGTAGTTTTGACAATTTCTTAAAATAAACTGTTTTTTTTTTGTTTTTTTTTTACATTCAGTAATTTTCAAAATCAGGAAAAAAAAGCAAACTCCTCCCTCTGGTGGTAGTATCGGGAGTTGCAGGCCAAAAGCATTTTCCTACCCTTCATACTTGTTGCCCCATATATATTATACTCAATATTTTATTTCTCATTCTAAAACATGAAATGACTATAATCTAAAGTAAATACTATCATCATTTTAATGGAAAAATTCATTATATTTCTTCTTTAAAGCTCACTTTAAAAATGTGTTCTATTTGATATTGAAGTTAGTACATTTATAATTAACACTTTATATTTGATTCAATTAATCACTGACAAGGAAAAACTGTCAATGAAAAAAGAGAGGAGACAGAGCTGCTTAGGTAAACTCCTCAGATGATCTCCTGGGACGTGGCTTTCGGAAACAATCACACTGCCCTCCGAGTGTGTTGAGCAGTGGAAAATGAATAAATTAATAGGTGGAGTAGGTGTCCCGTGGGCAGGGTCACGGAGCATCTGTGAAGGTCATCAGGGTGTCCCAAACCTGCTGTTTCCCCCTGAAGAAACATGTCAGAGCTGAGATTTACAACTGCGTGGAAAGCACACACTCTACACACACGCCCAGTGTGTGACACCCTACCATCAAAGTGGACCGGACCGCAGATACAGCCAAAAGAACCAAGCATTACATCCAAGAATATAAACATGTGATCCAGACATATGCTTAGATGCAGCAGCTCACATATTCACACACTTACTTTGGTGGAATCTGTTGCATCTTACATGCTCTGCAAACACATGGCTGAGGCTGAAGTGTTGGTCTAATGATCATTTACTCTAATTATAAGTGGAAACTCTGCATGGAGAATGATCAAACTACAAAGTTTAGCTAGTGTCTAATGGCTGTAGATCAACTGTTGTTTTGACAATCCCCCCTTCACAGCTGAGGGAAATGTAGCACATTGGGATTTAAGGACCTGTAATAAATCACGGATGCTGCATATTGACCAACACACACTGCACAATTAGCCAGAGTTAGCCAAAAGGCTAGTTTTCCTCCAGAGTTTGTTGTCTGGAGTACAGGAGACATCTTGGTTTTTCAAACAATTGGACTATATTTTATGCTGGTTCATTTGATTGGAAATACAAAAAGCAGTTGTATTTCAGTCTTTTCAAGAGGTCGATGGTTACATCAATTTCTCCCAGTACATTTTATCGTGGTTCATTGATCAAATATAAAGCATGCATTTGGCTAAAGGTGAGTTGGTTTAAGAAACTTGAAGATTTGAAGAATTGTTTTTTATCAGATTTGTCAAAAATCAGTAAAGGAGCGTGAAGTATTGAGTGTGGATAATGGTAATTTTATGAAAATACATTCCTCCGCCTGGGATGGACATTTTCACACACATACTTTTTTGGCCAAATAATCACATATTCTTCTAATACATCTAATAAAAAACAATTATGCCTTTCCACTTTCTTGTATCTCTTGCTTGTCCTGAACACCCTTCCTCACACCCTTTTTAACGTAACAGCACATTGTACATTATTTGTTTCACTTCTGGTCATATTTTGAAGAAAGTGAGTAGTCGTAGGACACTTTGACCTTCAAAGACCATACAGCTCCCAGGCCTTGATCAGCGTCTGTCAACACCAGCTTATAAAAGCAAGAGGCATCACTGACAGAACAGACGCCCAAGTCTTCAGCCGATTTCGCACATACGGACCTGTTCAACATTCACATCAAAAACAGGGCTTGTGTATTTTCAAATGATTTTCACGTATCCCCAAGCCATGTTGTTAAAGAAGTGCAAATTTAACATAAACAGAATCAACTCACAGTATTAAAAGGACTCAACAAACAACAAGGAAAGAATACATTACACTATCTTCATATAAATAGATCCATTGGAAGAAGCACATTATAGTAGGTCTGACTTTTAGTGGACACAGTAAAGAATATGTTGAATTTAGTATTT